GATTGCTTAAAATTGATTTAAATATAATTTTCATCTTTATAATTTTCTGTTTTTATATTTTTTTTTCACTTTTGATTCCAATATTTTTTTTTATTTCTTCTTTAAATTTTTATAATATTTAAAAAATAATTTTTATTATTAATTATCATTAAAAAATTCATATGATAAATGAAATAAATATTATATTAATATATTTAGGTAGGTTGATATTAATTTTTTTAATATAAATTTTCAAAATGCACCTTGACACTATAAATCCTAAAGGTATGTTTGGTTTTAAAAAATATATTTTATTTTTATTTTCAGAAAAATAATTTTTATTTTTAAATTTTAATATTTATAAAACATGTTTGGTTTGACTATTTCCAATAAAAGTTCATAAAGTATTTTTTTATATAAATTTTATAATCAAAATTACTCTTTATACATGAATTAGAATAATATTATTTTGTAAATATTTCATATTTTTTCACTCTATCTTATGTTTAATCTTATTTAAATACTCTTTTTTCATAATAAGTGAATTTTACTCTCAAAGGACGCAAATGTCTCCTATATTTTTTTATATCAAATGAATAATTTATTATCTAACAAGTAATAATTATATATCAAAATAAAATATACTTTATATTTATTTTATATATATATACACATATATACACACACGATATTTCTTATATTAAAATATATTAACCAAAACTTAATCACACTAAATATTAATTATATTTAATAAAATATATTTAATTAAGATAAGTAAATAATATAAACAACATATGTAATTAAAATTCTATAGAATAAATATATCTAATAAAACTTATAATATATATAGAAGTATTAAACAAAACTTCTTTACACATAAAAGAAAATGTAAGACGAATCGATTAAACTACATGTATAAAAAAAATAAGTCTATTAAATTATGTGTGCAAGATGCAAGCTTAGAAGTAAGTTCGTAAATAAATTTAATAATTACTATCGCATGTTATTTCATTTTCAAAAGTATAGAAAATAGTGAAAATGATATTTTTCATTTTCAATTTTGGGATTCTTTTGAAAAAAATTTCAAAGAAAACATTTACTAAAATTAAAAGTAAACATGTCTTTGTACTTATTTTCTATTTTATTTGAAAATGAAAATAGAAAATGATGAAACCAAGTAGGTCCTAAGCATCCCAACTCAAAGCCTAATCCCTCGATGAAGAACATCTTCTCACAATTCATGATCTTGACAATAGCACTGAGGTCATCCTTAATGACCACTGTAGTTGTGAGGTCGCTATCTCACCATGAGGGAATTTGACCTCACGCTTGACTACTCCTCCATTGTGTAGGAGTTCATGTGCCACAAAAATGTCGTCCACTTTGTTGCATCATTATCAATGTCGCCTTCTCTAAGACTAATAAGAATTATGTTGATTTGATCAAAACCATCAAGACTATCGACATTGCGATTGTAACACTCCTTATATTTAACGTTTTAGTAGTTCCATTTCACGATATTTTACATGGTGATATTTCACACAGTGACATTTCACACAACTCATCCCTGGTCATAATCCTTCATCAATTAAAAGCCTTCGTGGATAACCCTTTTTGAGAGGCTTGGTCGACTCTAAAATCAACAACTATGTCCACAAAATACAAGACTTGTCAATGTGTTTTGTTTTCTCTTGTACTCTTTTTCAAAAGGTGACCCATTCCTAAATTATTCAAAGCTAAGCACACTTAACTACGAAATTTTTATGCAATGAGCTACTGAAAAGTAGATGAATCTTATTAGTATAGGCGGTAAAAATTAATTTATTTAAGTCATCATCAATTACATAATCTAAACTTGTACAAATCTTTGAATTTCTCTCATTTTGGTGTATCCAAACTATTACAAACTCACCAACTTTTGCCTGATTCATCCCCAAACCACACCATATTGGGAGAGAGGACTTTGCTAACATTTGTAACACTTTTCAAATTTGACATCTCAACGACTTCACTCCACAATACTTCACATAACTTCTTGTTGGTCAAAATCCTTTACTAGTCATAACCCTTCATGGATAGTTCTTTTTGATAGATTTGGTTGCCTCTATAATTAACGATCATCCTCACAAATCAACATAAGACTTTTCAGTGTGTTTTTATTCTCACTTGCATGCTTTTTAGGAAACTTTCCAAAAGGTTCATCAATCTCTAAATTACTCCAAGACAAGCACACATAATTGTTAAATTCTTATGTGATGAACTATCGAAAAGTAGATACATCTTGTTAGTATATATAGTACAAATTAATTCCTTTAAGTCATTCTCAATTACACAATCTCACACCTATACAATATTTGGATCTTTCTTATTCTAGTGTGCTTGGACTATTAAAATGACTGTTGCATTAGCGACGAATGGGACACCTCATTAAAGAAGGGATACTAGTAGTTTAGCTTTGCCACCAGCAACAACCAAAAAATGATGTTTCGCAATTTGAAGAGGGTATGAAACGACAACAAAAATTTAGAGACTAAAAGTGAACGAGTGATAAATTATAGGAAAAAAATTATATTTAAACTTTTAAAATTTGAGAAAATAATACAAGTAAATGAATTATATTTGTTAAAATGCTGATCTCGTTTTGTTGAAATTTGGGACGAAATTGGAATTGTTTTGTCTGTTTCATTTCTTTCCAAAGTTATTTGAAATGCAAGTCATCTTATGGGAGAAGATCATAAAAATATAGGAGTAATATTTTGATTTTAATGAATTTTGTATCTAAAAAAAAAGGTTAGTCTTTGATATTTGTTTTTGCCCCATCACTAAGAAATCGATTTTTATGTTGGTTAGTAAATAAGTAATGATATACGAACATTTGTTTCCGTTGATCCTTTTTATTTATTTATTTTTTCTAACTTTCTGTTTTTGTAGTATCATATTTACCTATCACATCTACACCTTTTTTTTTTCTTCTATAGGGGCATATATGAGCACCAAGTGTTCTTGAATCATTTTTTTAAGTAAGATATATTAAAAAAAATTTATAAAAAAAATATATTTATATTTGACTTTTAAGTCGGTAATTAAAAATATCGGGGTCTTTTGGTATCTAAGTTTGTCTACACTGCAAGTTTCTAAGCATGATCTTGTTCTAGCATTTTTACCAGATATTACCATTATGTACTTGATGCAATTGTTGTGGTAGAGTAGCAAATAAATATATAAAAGAAACTTAAACAAAGACTTTTTTTTAGAGAAAATTGAGACTTTATATAAACAAACTTCTTAATACATTATAAAAAAAATTCTTAGTAAGTACTTATGACATAAAATAAGAAGGTAAAATAAATTAAGTTTTATTTATAAGTTAAAATCAATTTATGCAATTAGTTTTTATATATATAAAAATACATCTTATTTAACTTTTTTAAATTTTGATTTTAACTTATTCATGAATTGATTTTAACATGTAAGAGAAATTTAATTGATTGTACCTTGTTATTTTATTCTTTTATAGGTACTATAATGGGAAATTTAACAAAAACACATCTAAAGTTTCTTAAAAGTTGATTCGAACTAGTTATTATAACTTCTCAAATCAAATAATGACATGTGAATACTTTTTTTCAAACAACATATTTTGAATGGAGGTTATTTTGAATCAATTGAAACAAGACCTAAGACTTTATACAAGCTACCAAAGTCCTATCACTAGGTAAACTCTTAGTTATATTTTCGGTCACACTTTAAGAATTCATTTGTATTTCAAATGATTTAATATAAAATTAACGCACCATAACTAATATTGTTTTTGCGCATGCAAGGTCAACTCTAATTAATACAAGATAATTTTTTTAAAATGTTCATATTTATTTTTCTTTGTGTTATTGAATTTTTAAACATGTTTGTGATTTTAAGACACTACATGGAAATAATGACTAGTGAATACTTTTTATTTAGTTGCATTTTGCAAGTTGATGTTATTATAAATCAAATCAAACATAAGACTTTGTGTAATCTATCAAGTTACTTCAACTTTAATGGATTATTTTTATCTTACTTTAACGATTGTTTTGAAGTTTAAAAGATTTAATATAAAAAATGTAATATAACTAATGTTATTATTGAGAAAGTCAATCAAGGATAGATCTACATGGAGGAGAGTGGGGATAACCATTTTATACATACATATTTATTTATCCAAAAAGATAGTATATTTTAAAAAATAAGAATTATATTATAATATATATATATATATATATATATATATATTTGTTGCAA